CTAAAAAATATTTAAAAGCTATTACCATAATAAAATTTTCTGTTATTGAATATTTAAGGACACGTCAATGTGTTTGTAAATTTTCACAAAAACTTTCAGAAAATACAAACAAACTCACACGCATTCGCACACACACACACTCTGCATAGCTGTACTTCCACCTTTGCTTTCACTGATCGTTTGCAAATGTAATTGACATTGTAATTGTAATTGAGAAAATTATTGCAATTATACTAACAACATTACTAATTTACATAAACACGCACATACACGCATACATTATTTATGCTTCGGTAGCTAAACGCACACGTGTTAGGCGTGTCCAACTGAACTGGTCGAGTTGTTAAATATGCAAATTTCGTCTTTTTTCCGAACTTGTTGCCACGCAAATTCAATGATCAGCGTTGATGTGTGAAATGTCATGAATAATTAGTTGCCCAATTTATTGCTTAGAAATAAAATATTAAATTTAGGTGTATTTTATTTAAGCTAAAGTTTAATTAATATTGCATATTGTCTTTATTTAAAATATATTATATAAAATTACTTTTAATAAAGAAATGTGGACAAATTGGCGAAAGATTAAATTTGACTTGCTTTAATTATTTGCACCCTGTAACAATATTTGTAAATCGGGGTCTGACTATTTGCTAATGAGATTATCTCTCACTATTGTGTTAAATAAAGAAAAAAATCGCGGTGACATGCGATATGATGAAAATGTTTATGGTAATAATTGTATGAGTCGTACTCCATGCCACCGAGGTTTAACTGATTTAAAAATGGCTGTGAGGATTTAAATAAACGGGTTTTTAATGAAATAAAAATAATTGATTTATCTTATCAATCCTACTCCGTTTTCACCTGATCTAACAACATGTGACTACTTTCTATTTCTGAAACTGAAAAATAAACATAAAAGGAGCATTTTATGATTTTATCCCAACGATTCAAGCAGCCGTAAGCAAGGTGCTGAAAATGACAAAAAATCACTAGTCGATTATTTGTAATATTGTATTGAATCTAATAGAGCTTATTTTGAATACATAAAAACTTATAAAGATAATACAATATAACGTTCAATTCGATATCCAAAAAGTTCGGCTATTTTAAGGACATAAATACCTTACATGTTTCTTACAGAAAAATATCATGACACTTATTCTTGTTCTTCACAGTGTACTTTTTTAATTAAAATCCACAACGAGTCCAAACTACCGAAACTCCAATACATTGAAAAAACAAAGCACAAAAACACAGTGTAGCACATAAGCCCTTTGCGTAAGAAAGGATTGAACGATTACTTGCACACAGAGGTTTCCGATAAATTTGTCCATTGGGTTTCAAAACCCTCAGTGTACATTTAACAGAAATATGTTTTAGCGCTTTTGGCTACTTAACCAGCAGTTGGCTTGAAGGAAATATTCTGTTATGTCAACAGAAAAGTACCTGTCTGTCTTGAAAATAAAAACTGAGATCATTTCAAAAAGAAATATTTAAACGAGGATTTTTGGCTTCGGGTACAACCGCAAAGGTCTTTATAACTGGAGCATATGGAACATAGCATAATCGCGTAACCCTTTGCCACAAAGCCACAACAACAACATAATCCATCCGTCGTCACTTTGTTAAATTATTTTTACCTGCGTACGCCAAGCGGGACGACACTTCCTTGCTAACAGATCTTCACTATATATATCAAAATGATCAGAATGACAAGACAAATTTAGTTTCCTATGCATAACTCTCCATCCGTCCGCTAACACTCTGAGGAGGTTGGTATTGCAGCTGGGCGAAATCGGACGCTATCCTAGTCTACCCATACGATACTCACAGTTTTATATAAAAATTTTGAAAAATTGAGATAACTTGTATATTTATGACGAGCTGCTGTGTGTACATTAACTAATTTTCAAGGGAGAACAACAGCAGCGACAATAATTACGCAGCATATGCGTGCACAAGTCATGTCAAATCTACGTAAAATGGGAGTACGCATAGCAGCCACAAAGAGGAGCAGCCATAACGGAGGAGTAAAACATAGAAACGCACTTTGCTGCGGTTAAAACACAAACAAAAATACAACAAAAATACAAAGGAGAAACTACTATTATTCATTTCAGCGCGTTATGTGCGCATAACTGCTCTTTTGCAGCGCCAGTTGTTGTAATTTCTTCATTGTTGTTGTCGTTTGCCATGTTGCCGCCATCCATAAGTATTATTAGCGCTTTTTCTGCTGCTAACGACGCCACTGCCGACGCCATTGTTGTTCTGTTGCTGATGTTTCAGAGTTGATGTATGTGCGCCAGCGCTGAACATAACCGTTAGACTGTCAACAACAGCAGGGCCAGCAGCAAATTTCAACAAAAAAAAAAAAAACCAACAACAACAATCCAAGCGGGTTACAGCAATACGCAGCATACTATTAGCAAATGTGGCGGCCATTAACGCCAACAACAATGTCGCTGTTGTTACGCAGCAACATGTTAAGCTTGTCGTCGTTGTTGTTGCTGTTGCAGTTGTTATTTCTGCACCATAATATTATATTTATGTAATTCACAAGGCCGCTGCTGCTGTTGGCATTCATGCGTGCATACTGCTTTAATTGCCAACATTCAACGGCAGGAGTCAGCAACCAACAACAGCATTATCAGCAACAACAATAACAACAACAACAGGCGTAATTGCAGAGAATGCCAACACAAAACGACAGCAGGTCACCCACCATCACCTCTGTAGCGGAAATCATTGCTGGTTGGTTGTGGTAGTTGTTGCTGCAATTATTGTTGTTGTTGTTGCTGGTAATGTGTTAGTCTAATGGCGGTCGTCATTGTTCCTGCGAACATCAAACCTCAAATGTTGTGCTGCTGGCCTGTTTTTTTCTTTATTACCCCTCTATTGCTCCCTTTGTTTAATGCCACGTGCTGTTGTCAGTTGCGGCAAGTGTCGTGCGCACTCGCCGTGTTCAACGCTATCAACATTTATGCGCGAATACAATTAAAATTTAGGGCAATTATGCGGTGAATGTGTCGCGCACAATAAACGCATGCAACGAATGCAACTGTGGCACACACACGCGAAAACTGATTGTGATGGCACTATTTGCGCACAAAAGCAGGCAACAAAATTTGCAAACTCAAGTTTGAAGTCTATTTGCTGGGTATGCAGGACGCATATAAGTGCGAAATTAAGAGACATATTAAAGAAAATAGTTTCGTTTAATTTGTAAATAAAATCGAATGACACTCGTATGGTTTCCAAGCAGCCAATTTGTGTAATGTTATTAAATTTATGTATGATTGTTTTGTACTTGAGTACAAAAATTTCAAACTCACAAAATTTAATTAAAATTTTTATCAAAAAAGGAAAATAGCTCTGACTATTGTTTTCATTCATTTACTCTATTATATATTTATAAATTATTTTTATGTATTTAAAAAAATCAACTATTATAGGCGATATTCACCCAGCTAACTTCGACTTTATGTCTCAACGCACTCACAAATAATTTTTGAATCTAATTTCATCTGCGTTTCCTGGCAATAAAGCGCACACGAGCGTTCTATTTATTTTATGCTACGATTAAATAAAATAAATATCCTGTATATGTTACTAAACTCCTCAGCTATGCCATTCACCTAAGGTAATTTCTATGGTATCATCCGGAAAATCAGGAAATGAAATGCAGTGGAATAACATTTCTGAATGCAATGCTTTCCAGTTATTGGCTCATATTTTTTTATTTGTATTTTTTTACTTTTATATAGTAACAAATTGCTGAGGTATATGCACGTACATATGTAGCTATATGAACAAGTAGGAGAGCCAGTAGGAGCGAAAATATTTATACTAAAATAACTAGCAGTAAGAAAATATTGTAAATCGGCAGTAAAAATGTTCTGAAGTATGATACCTTGAAATACTTGCGGCACAGGCAATAAAAAGGCTTCATCATACCAAAACATCAGATAAAATCGCTTTCAAATGTAAAAATTGCAAAAGGGTAGAGAATAGAGGCCCAAAATTAAGTGTAGTCATACAAATAGGCGGAGATATAAACAGATGGATGGGACTTAAAATACAATATACAGAACCAGAAAATTAGACGCACTGCTACTACATATTTGTGTCATAGTTCCATCAAGTACCGCCACTTTTAATATATTTATATACCTTTTATAACCCTTTATACTAATTACTAAACAATTCGGATGGTATTTACGGTTTCTACAAACACATTGATCACACTGACACCTATGGTTTCACAATAGTCTTTTATGACGTTTTAAATTTGCTGAAGGCATTGAAGGATATTTAGTTCTGAACCATTTTTGGAGCGCCATTCGCTACATTGTTAGATAGTTTCGACGAAATATTCAAAAGACCATGCCTAGCCATCAGTAATGATACGATGAATGTAGGATCCTCTGTTACATTCTCAAGCATCTCTTTTGCTACTTCTACTAAACGTCGTTTTCGGAAAAGATTTAGGTATTTTGGTACAAATCGAGCATTGACACACTTCATACCCAAAACACTAACCAAAATATCTACCAGAGATCAGATGGTACCTTTTCTACGAAAGACAAAATCTGAAATCTGTTAATGGATTTAACTTAATAAAAAAGCTTATAAAAATTGTTGGGCGTTCAGATATAGCTTAAAACTATGTTGAATCGCTGACATGCATTGGCCATATCAAAAAAAATATTATAAAAGTAACATAATCTTGAACTCTTTCCCTACAGCACCATTTAGGCTAATCAAAAACTATAACTAAAATCTGTACACGGAAATAATATCAATTTTTGCTTTATTTCAGCATTATTTATGACGTAACCAGATGAAACTATGTTATGAACACAAATAAATTTTGACGTCATAGCTTGTAGTGTATATGCTTGTGTATATATAAAAAATCTATGAAAATCAACTCACTCCGAAATTAGTCGAAATACCTTAAGCTGCTAATCTATTAAGTCTACGTATTGAATAGCGAAAGTACCTTATACATAACTTTGATATAAATACAGCTGCTAACGTTTTCTCCCCAACTGTAAGTAGCGCGAAACTTTTCTATTGTCGCCATATGCCATTCAACTTAATGTCAACGTAAGGCATACATCACAGCAGGTAATAAAATCGTGTCAAAAGAATAAACAACTAACCAAAGGCAAGTCAAAGATGAAGCGCAACTAAGCTGAGGTTTATGTACCAAGTATAAAGCGTGTACCTCTGAGGAAAACTGTGACGAAGAGGGTAAAAATATTATAGCAAACAAAAACTAAATGATGAATTATTTCTAATACAAATTGAATAATGCTTGAAGAACTTTTGTGCCGACAAAATTTAAGATATCGGATATGTAAGTTTCGCAGTATAATAATATAAATATATTTTTGATATATTCAATGTTTTTTATTTTCATTAGATTATTTACAGACACTTATGTATAAATCTCTGCTTTTCACAAATTATTTTCGTGGACTGAAATTTCTTAAACGGCTACCAAAGCAAGAAAAAATTCACGCAGCTCAAAAAAAAAAAAGAATGCCAGGCTGCGCTTTGTTTGTTTGTGCACTTTGAACTCGTCTAACGTTCATTCATTTATCCATAGTGTCAAGCGGCGGATTGCGTGGCAAGCCACAAACATGCGTGCGTAAAGAGAATGCGTGCGAAAAAAAAAAACTGAAGAAAGGCAACAGAAAAAATTGTATTGGCAAATAGAGCGCGTAGTTGAAGAATGAGTGAGCAAAAGCAGACGTGCAGAATGAAGCGACGGAATAGCAGCAAGTGAGTGTATTGTCTACAAGGCATATGCACAGAGTTGCTCAAAGACAGATAATCACATATGGAGTGGGAAGAAAGCGAATAACAGCGAGCGCACGGTGATTGATGATATCAAGATATCAAAGAATTTGCAAGGAGCAGTGTTTGCGCGCAAGAAAAATGTGTTAGCGCTACCCGAATATATTTGGAGCATTTTGTGGCAGCGACGATATGCAAACAACGCCATATATGCATGTATGTGTGTGTCGGTGTGAGAGATACTCGCTGCACGGGAAAGGAGTCCACACAAAACTTTACTGCAGCAATGACGCATCGCATTACCAAATGCACATAATTCGTCAGTCAACAAACAGACATACATATGTGTGTGTGTGTTTGCAACAGCCAAAAAACAGTGTGCACAGCAACAACTTGACTGAGGCAAATTCATTGAAAACTTCAGCGTTTGCATAACTTTTTCTCAGCTTCTGCACTTTCGTTATTTGCATTTTCAGGCATTTCTGCGTGAAGTTCATTTTGCCATCGCCACCACCGATGCAAAGCATGGCAGCGCGCAACCGGCAGCCGTCAGTAATCTTTCAAGTTGATTTAATTTGTTTGCAGATGGTATAAAATATTTTTTGGAAAATTAGTTTAATTAATGTTTGTAAATGTCACCACGTGCAGCAGCAGTCAACATCAACGCAAGTTGTTGCTTTTGTTTTTCATGTTGTTGTCAACACTTTGCATAATAGCTGTCAGTGTTTTGTGCATAATTTAGCATCATAATTAAGTGCAAGGAAATCTGTAAACATGCACATGCACACAAACACATAAACACACACACCTGCGTGGTGCAAACAAATTTCGCTCATTTTCGAGTGAAATACGAAGTAACTTCGAAAGTGACTTTTCCGAATTTGTTCTAAGGCCAGTTCAAGCTCAAATGTGTGCATCTGTTGTGCGCTGACAACTTGAGGCATTGCAAAGCTTCTAAGACTTTATTCTATTTTCAACTACAGCGCTTAGACTCGCAACTATTTTAACTAATTTGCTAAAATATTTATATTGAAATTATTTGCTTACACTAGTTGTGGTTGCTAGCTGTTGCTAATGGCATTATTGCATGGTAAAGTGTTGGGAAACTGAAGTCAGCTGAAGACAAATATTTTTAAAAGATCAGCAACTGTAGCTTAATGTAGAAAACGCATACAAAATTAATGAAAAAACTTTTAAATTAAAATATATCTTAGCCATATATATGTTTTTTAATACAAGTATTGTGTTCAATTTTATTTTTTTCGTTGGGTGGCAACTTCAGAAATACTATCCATGCATATTAAATGAGCGATTAAACGATTTTCTTATAAAAAATGTTTATGCTAGCTTTGAGTACAATTTAGACTATAACTGAAGCCTTAGAAATTGGTAAAAAGTGAAAAAATAAAAGTAGCCTGGAACTCATTGAAAAAAACCGGGAAGTTAACAAAAATTAAAGAAGAAAGAATTTACGGGGATCTTAGGTCGAGAAGAGGATTTGAAATCGGGAAGTGGAAGGGAGAGAGATGACTGAGTTTTTTAGGATAAAAACTGGTTTTTCTCGATCTCTGGGAAAACTACCAATCACAGGAAAAAATTATGTGCAAAAGTTGTAGGTGTGAAAAGATCTAAAACTTTTGCATTAAGGGGCACACCTGTGTGGAATTTTGACGACATCGATTTTTTTTTATTATTTCGATAATTTATAACTTTACAATCGATATCTCGAATAATTTTTGAGTAACAGCTTTTTAAAATGTATTCGTACAGTTCAGTATGCTCTATAAGTTTATCTTTAAACGGGTTTTTCTCGAAACAGTATTTTTCGAATTTGCTGCCGTGATAACTCAAAGACAAATGATCCGGTCATCATGAAATGTGTCTCTGCCATTTCTGTATATAACTCTCTAAACATCAATCTATCCGTTTGCTCAGATCGGATTTGGCAGGCCAAAAACTACCAAAATTTGGGGTAAAGTTAAAGTTTTTTTAAATTTGTCAATTTAAAAAAAAAAAAATTTTTATTTAAGTCGCTGTACGGAGAATTTCTTCTAGTTTAACGAGAATATTTTATTTTTAGGTTTCAATAATGCCTATAATATACTGTGTCGTGTTTTACATGCTTACTATCATACTCCTCTTAAATCCATCTACTAACCTCATCGACACGAGTTATAGAACAAAAGTTATCGAATTTGGAACGAATTTCAACCACAGAACTATTTTCATCAAAACATTCGTAATACAATATATATAATATGATATATATAGTGCATCAGTGCGTATGAGTAACATTAATGTAAAAGTAAATGTACAGTCGCTGGAAACCCAAAAAAAAACTAATTTTATTGCCTCATTTAGCAGCACATGTAACAACTGTTGGAGTACGCATTTTTATGTGAAACTGCCTACATTAGATTCAGTTGACCATAATAAAAATACGCTTACACGTACATGAGCGTTTTAGGCGCACTAAACAGATTTAGACAGCAATAAGCTCGGACATTTGCTATTATAATCGTTCGTTATACGGAAAATGGAAAACTTAACAGATAGTTTACTACAGATTTTATGACATGAATGTGTTTTTTGTCATGATGAAGACACTGAAATATAGGCGGGAGGTTGGTATAACTCATAGACCAAATTTTTTAACAAATTTTTTCATACAGTTTGTAGCTTGTGGTATAACTATACTTTAAAAATGTAGGAAGTTGCAAGTTTTGAAGCTGCCTGTGAACGTTTGTATGACTTAATGCGGTGAATTTTCTGCGTTGAAAATAATAAGCGAAATTTTCACCAAAAACTTTCTTATAAGAATTTCCACTTTCAGCCGACTTATTATTTTCAAACTCAAATTCTTTAGAAAAAGTAAATAAATCAATACTTTATATTAACTCTAAGCTATATAAAATAACCATCAAACACCACATTCCCACAAGTAGCCATTATTTAGCAATTTGTTGTTAAGTGAACAACAAAATGCAGCCAATTACCAGGTAACAATATCCGGAGTAAAATCCATAATTAGCCAATAATTGAAAGGTAAACAAGAAACCAGCAATCAACAAAAGGCAATCGGAAGCTGCTCATAAATACGAGATGAAAGCTTTTTCGAGAGACGCACACCAACACACAGATACCAAGCAGTAAATTATTGGCAAACAGATTGATGCAAAATGCATAGATCAAATGCAATAGCTCGTGGCCAATTTTCAATAATTACTTTTACATAGCAATAAACTCACACACAAACACATACAAACAAACTTACTAATACTTGTATTTGCAATATAATAAAGTATTTATGCGCCAATTGTGCATGGTGAATGAAATGTGCAAATATCCTGTTGCGGTGAGCGTGCAAACCGTTCACCAGCAATCTATGCAACACATCGCAACTTAAACCATTCCATTAGTGCATATGTGTGGCTGTGTATGTGTGTATGCGAGTGCTGCCAAAATACCGACCGACATCCGCCATCCGCTTAGTGGGCGGTCAGTGACCACACCAAGCAGCAGCAAGTGCAAGCAGTTAAAGCCAACCAAAAACAATAAAAGCTCTACAACGATAAAACAACAGCAACAACAACACGTAGTAAATTTGCAATTTCGCGCTGCATTTGCACTGCTGCATTGTGGCTACAGCTGTGGCTGCGGCCGAAGCTCTGCAACCCCAAAGCCTGCGTCGACGCCGTCGCTAACACAGGCCACGCTACGGTAACAGCGGCACATGCGATGCCAGCTGGCGCAGCGCTAACAGCAGCTGCTTGCAACAAAGTAAGCAATAACTTTAGAATCACCGCAAGCAATTTGCATTTTACAACCGAAGCGAATAAAATAAAAAAAGCACTGCATTAACAAAAAGCTTGCAAAAATGTGAATAAATAAAAATAAGTAAAAAAAAAAAACGTTGCAATAACGGCGAATGGTCGTAGTGGAACGAAGGCGGCTGTGGAGGCGCTAAAGGAGGCGCCGACAATTGCCATAGAAGCCAAGAAAACGGCACGAGATATAAATGAAAATAGTTGACACCATTCTGGCATAATCAATTTCCTGCTTGCGGCAAGCAGTGCAATGCCAATAACAACAATAAAAACAACGTTGCAGATAAAAGGTTAGCGCGAACGCCAATCCACCGTTTGCCACTGAAAACTGCCTGTTCTTGAACGTTGTACTGAGACACAGTGTTCCGCGGCTTTCTGAATTTTTTTCTTGTAAAAACTTGTAAAAACAACAACCTCAGTTATATGGTTTGTCATAAAATTGCTCGATTTATTGCGCGGGTTTCGTGTTTCATAGTTATTTGCAGGAGCAGCGAAAGTAAATATGAATATTGATTGTCTTCTGTAAAAATAAAAACATAAAAGAAAGAAAAAAAGACGAATACATTTACAAAAACGTCTATACTATTGGTATAAAATTTCATTTTTTGTATTTTCTAAGAAAATATATATTTTTCTAATAATTTTTTTAATGCATTTAATTAATTATGGACATACGATATTCAATTTAATGAATATTTGCGAAATTAAAACATTTATGGCAAGGTTCATTAAAAAAATTCCCAAAAAATCTCATTAATATGAAATAGGCTAAAAAAGTGAGCTTATTTTTTTTTGTTTTATGTGTAACGAACATACCATTTTCTTGCAGACTCACTTTTCAACATTAAAGGGACTATATATATCATTTCGTTTTTATAAATAAAATCATAAAAATTTATTATTAATAATTGTATATTTTAGTTGTTGAAATATTTGTTTC